GATTCAGGACCTAGACGCTTAGTGTCTCATCAGCATCGCCAGCTCAAAGTGAACTCCTGGTCTGTCCCCTGAACCTGTGCCACCAGCCCCAGCTTCTGCACCGCCCCCCTCGGGGCGCTCCATCCGCCCAGCTGCCCAGGCTACAGGCATGGGAGGCTGCCCTCACGCCTTCCTCCCCTCAGGCCCCACTGCCAACCTGCCAGTTCCTCCCCAAGGCGTATCTTCCCATCTCTGCCCCCTCTGTCCTGGTCCAGACCTCCCCCACCTGCCCCAACCCCATCTCTCACCTGGACCACTGCAGGAGTCTCCTGGCCCATCTGCCTGCTTCGACTCTTGCTTCCTTATTTTTAGCACAGCAGTGACCTTTTAAAATTATAAATCAGACTGTCTCATTTTCCTGCTTAAAATTCTTCAGCTTGCCATTCACTCAGAAAACCCAGACTCCTTCAGGTGACCCAGAATAAGGCTTCATGTGATCTCGCCCTTGCCTGTCCCTCCACGCCCCCCTCCTTCAGACCCTGTCTCCCACCCAAGGACCCTTCCCACTGCCCTTCCTTCTTCATAGCTGCTGCGCTCTTTTGTCCACTCTCAGTTCACACGTCCCCTCCTCGGGGAAGCCGGCCCACACCCCCGATCAGAGGCCTTGTTGTGAAGCACCCCATCACCCTCTCTTCCAGACCCTGTGCATTGTCATCCTACACTAGTACAATCACAATTACATATTTATGTGGGTTTTTATTCCTTTGTTATCTATCTCCACTTCTAGACTTAAGAACCACTGTCTTGGTTGTATTTTTTTTTTTTGTTTTATTTTGTCGTTGTTGTTGTTGTTTATTTACCACAGTAACCCTGAGCCTTCCAGAGGGCCAGAACATAGCAGATGATCAATAAATATATATTGAGTCAACAAATGATAGATACAACCATAGATACATCAAATATTTTTTATTGCCTGCAGAATACAGGTTTAAATTCCTTAATTGGGCATTCAAAGCTGATCTGTCTGCAGCCTCAGCTTTCACCCTACCCCGAGGTTGCCTGGGCTCAAGGGGGCCCTCTCTGTCTTATTTATGGACCAGGGTCACGTGTCCTGGCTGTACTCCGGGCTTCCCTGACGCCAGCCTCTCCCTCCCCCTTGTGAGTGGTCCTTGGCCTTCCCGTCTTTGTTACATACCCACTTCCATGAAGCTTTTCACAATTCCCGCAGCTGGATTTCAATCTCCTACATGTCCACAGAGTCTAGTGTTTGCACATATGATCACACTCAATGGAGGAGAAACCATAGGCACAGACGCTCCGGCTCCCAGGCCACCTCCATCACTTTCAGGCCACGGGATTCCAGGTCATTTGTGCACGTTTTCCTTTTTACAGTTTCCTTTTCTGCAAAGTATATGGAGAGTTGTACTTGGACCTTGCAGGGCTGTGATGGGGACTGGCGAGACTAGCTACACCGCACGGTGCGTAGGGAAAACTCTGGAGTGAGTTTTGTGAAGGTGACCACGCAGCAGGCTGCCTGGTGACGTGGTTACTCAGGACGCGGTGGTTTCCCCGTCTACACTGTCAGCTATACTTGTCTAATTTCTCTATCTCTTCCCCCAGTCCTTGTCACTGTGCCTCCCACTATACAGAGGGGAAGAGCCCAGTGAATGTTTCAATGAACGAATGGATGAGTGAGAGTGAACAGCACGTGCCCAAGCCCTCTTTACCTGTTAAAGGGTCCCAGGAAGTACCAGAGCTACCGACACTCACCCTTTACCTCAATGGCTCTGAGCAAAGGTGGCCAAGTCTGTCTGGGTCTCACACAATTCCAGCCAAGCTCCCCTGCTTCTCTGACTCGGGGGTCCTGACCCCCGCCCCCTGCTGTCTGTTCCCCCATCTGTGAGACCCAGAGCAGTGAGCCACATAGTCTGTGAGGAAATGACATTTCCAGCCTATAGGCCATTCGGAGACTGTTGTCGGCAGTGCAAAGCGGGGAGCTCTCACCACAGCCCTCTCTCATTGGAAGGGGTTCCAGCCGGTCATTACCTTCTCTGCCTGCACCCCAAGTCCTTGTCCAAAGACACCTAATTTAAGTGAAAATATTCAATCAGGCTCTCCTGTCTTGACTCAGACACCCCCACCCCATAGCCAGTAGCCTGGGGCAAATCTCCAGGGTTTGAGGAACCCCTGACACGGTCAGAGAGGGGAAGAGGGTGTCCCAGACAACCCCCACCTTTAAAACGCCCTCTTTCAAGCAGAGCCATCAGCACCTCACAGCCGGACGTTTTGCTGGAGCGACCCGACTCGGCCCAAAGACCAGGATTTCTGGAGGGTGGCTGTGGGCCCGGGAGGATGGGCTCGGGCTCCCCACTCTTGCATTTGCTTTGTCAGCACCCACGTGGCAGCCGGCACCTCGGCACGAGCCCGGGGATGGGGTTATAACCCACATTTCGCAGGTGCAGGCCCATGCCTTGTCGGGGCCCAAGCTGGGGCGGGCCTGCCCAGTGGGGCCAGCTTGGACCTGGCTGATGCCGCTGCCAGCGGCCTGTGGGCTGGCGGGACACTCCCTCCCCATCGGGCCTCCGCGCAGCACGGCGGCCGCAGGTTGCTCCACTGCTTGCGAGGCGGCCCCCAGCCTGGGAATGCCAGCAAGCAAGGGCCAAGTGACAACCCCTTGGCCCACCTGGCCTCCCAAGCCCCATGGTGTCGTGACAACCACGGCAGCCGTCCTTGGCATTGCCGGAGAGTCACAAGCCCGTCCAGATCCAGAGCGAGGAGGCACGGACCACACGTCCCGGTGGAAGGAGGGTCGGGGTCAGATCATAGAATCCCACGTGAGGTGGAGATACTGGTGCCGACAGTTTTGGAAAATGCAGCGTGCCAGACACAGAATGTGACAGGGCCAGGATCTGCATTACAGAGATCTGATCCTAAAACTCCTGCTGGGCCCTTGTAGCCAGGCGCAGCGCACCCTCCTTTCCTCTGCGGCCCTGCAGCTCTGGGCCCCACACACAGGGCGATTCGGCCCCCCCAGGCCGACTGGGGCCCGGCTAGGTTAGGGCAGCAGACCAGGGCCTGCCAGTCACAGGCCATGCCGACGCCGGCTCGGGAACTTTTTAAAGAAGAGGACAGAGAAGGTCGGTCACATCCAGAGGAGGAAAGCAGGTGGCCCGGTGAGCCTGCGGCGCGTCGCACTGTCATAAACAACTTGTCTGGTGTTTTTCCTCCTCCCACCAGGCGCTGGCCTGGGATGACTCAGCCCTTGACAGAAAAGGTGCCTTCGAGCTGGGAAACAGCCCAGGCTGGGGGACCGTTCACTGCTCCCGCGTCAGACTTTCCCAAATTGGAGTCCTGGCTCGCCCGCTGCGGTTAGACAGCCTCGGAGAAGCTCCTCGACCTCCCAGAGCACAAAGGGAGACTAACATGCCCTCCTCACTGGATTGTTTCAAATGTCTGTGGAAGCAAAGTACCAGTGTCGGGCCAGGAACATAGGAGGTGCTTCGTGGATGCCAGTTTTCATGTCCTAGGCCATGTCCAACCCCAGCTCGGGGACTTCTTGAAGACCGCGGTGAAAACTCACCCGACCATTCCACAAACACTAGTCCAGCTCCGTGCTCCTGGATGGAGAGGTGGCTGACGCATATCCAGTGACGTGACAGTTAAACTGAGGTGCCCGGAGACTGAGAAGTCAGCCCCATAAGACACGTGGAGGGAGGGAAAGTGGCCTGGAAAGACAGAAGGGTGTACGAAAAGGCCGGAAAGTGAAAGAAGTTCAGTTGCTGGAGTGTGAAGGCCAAGGAGGGTGGAGAGGGGGGAGCACAAGCACAAAACTAAGAAAACAAGTAGGAGCCCAAACATGAAGGACCTGGTCAATCAAGTTCCAAAGTTTGAACTTTAAGGCAACTGGGAGCCCCTTGGGAATTGAACTCGGTTGGATGCAGTGGTTAGCTCTGCACTTTATAGCCTCCCTCTGATTACGTCCTAGGAAATGGAGTAGAGGCAGGGAAGCCTGGTGGTGGGGGAGGCCCATTAAGAGAACATGATAGTAATCCAGGGGAAAGGAGATGCTGGCCTTCTCTAGCGGGACAGCAGGGGACTGGAGGGAGGTGGGCAAACTCTTAGAAGAGATAAGTGATTTAAATGAAGTCAATTTAGAAGTCTCATGGAAGCTTGGGGCCAGACCACCAATCACAGCCCTGGGGAGAGCGGTACCGTAGAAGGCTTTGCTGAAGGGATATTACCTAATTGGAGAGTTGATGAGCAAAAATGTAGCCAAGGGAGGTGGGGAGGCACTTCAGGCAGAGGAAATAGCTCGCGTGACAGCCCAGAGATATAAACTATAATGCACAGAGGAGGTACTCTGAGTTGTTGAAGAGATGACTGGTCTACCATTTCATACTAGAATGGTAATGGTTGATACAGAATTGGCCCTGTTTCCTTCCCTGGAGAGTTTGTACTTTAACAGGTCATGAACTTTGCCCTGAGGATTCATTATTGGTAGATTTCAAGGTGGAACAAGGACACTGTTGAGGGTGAGAGGGTTTGACCATTGCCCCCCAAGGTTACCAAAGTACATGACTGATCCCTAAAGGTCAAACAGAGCCTGGTCTACACGCAACAAAGGGTCTCTTGCCCTTGGGTCTCACTTATCGGCCTCCACCCTGAGCCACCTGAAGCCAGACCATGGAAGCTCAGTGATTCCCAAAGGGATGCAGTATATTCTAGAAGCTTCGAATGAACATAGCTTTGAGGTGAGAGCACCTAGACCCACATCCTGGTTCCTCTCCTTCCTGGTCCTGTGACCTTGGGCAAATTATTTAACCTCTTCACACCTCAATTTGCTCATCTGTAAAATGAGGAAAAAGTAGTATCTAAAATTTTAGAAAAATCAGAAAAGGTCCTACAGAAAGCGTAGAAGGCTGAGTGGCGTCCCTGCGTCTGTCACTGCTGTTGTTATCACCAGCACTTTACACTCTGTCCCAGTCGCCTTCCAAGTTGTTCCTTGACGCTCACACTTGCAGATATGAAGCTGGGAAGGAACGTGGCAAGAACGTTTTTGGATTATTATCGGCTGAACCCCCTGGTGGAGACAGTGGCGATCCCGGTGCCGAGGCTGCGGTGAGTGACACAGCAGAGCTGTGTGGCTTGGGTCCTGCTTCCCTGGCTTTGCCTTCCGGGGCAGCTTCCCTCGGCTTCATCTGGCCTTGGTTTCCCATCCAAGGGGAACCCCATCCTGTCCCAGACTGAAGAGCCCCACCGTGTGCTTTCTGACTACTAACACCGTGGCAGCGTCAGACAGCGTGGGGCGGTCACATTCTGGGTCTAGCGTGGGAGTCCACGGGGGCGAGCGGTGCTGGGGACCGAGCACAGTCATTGTTCTAAGTTAGTCTGGGTGTCTCCATATGCTGCCTCAGCTGGTGGCTCATCTGCCAGGATTCCTGTTTCATCTGGGCCCACGAGGCCTCCGATCCCTGTGTTTTCCCAGCTGTGATGCAGGGACGATGGCACCCACCTACAAAGTTACCGTGAGATGGGTGCTAAAGCACCCTGCACCCGGGTAGGCATGCACGCATCCCCTTGTAAACGTGATAGTCCCATTCCCTCAAGACGAGGTTTTGGGGCTGGGGGGACACACCCCTAAGAGATCATGTCACCTCTTCTGCTGGAGTCAACGTTTTGGGCCGCCGAATAGAGTAGGTCAGGGATGCCCAGTCTTTCAGAGGGCTAGACCCAGCCCGGAGCACTGGGCATTCCCAGGCCTCTTGGAAGGAAGCCCAGTGAACATTTGCACAGGGACACCCAATGGCATCTGAAATGTGCTGGCCCTGCTCTACCTGTGGGCCACATGTCCTGCTCTCTAGTGATCCAGCCTCCCTAAAGGACACAATGATGTCCAGCTTACTCCTCCTGCCGGGCCAGTCTTCCCCCCCAGACCTTGCCCATGTGCTTGGCTGCCCCAGGGCGTTTGCACTAATGCACCTGCCTCCATACCCTGTTACTAACAAAAACAATATATTTTTTTAAGATTTTATTATTTATTCATGAGACACACACACAGAGAGAGAGAGAGAGAGAGAGAGAGGCAGAAACACACAGGCAGAGGGAGAAGCAGGCTCCATGCAGGGAGCCTGACGTGGGACTCGATCCCAGAACTCCAGGATCACGCCCTGAACCAAAGGCAGATGCTCAACAGCTGAGCCACCCAGGCATCCCAACAAAAACAATATTAATCACTGTTATTAATTGAGCCAAGTACTTTTTGTACATGATCTTATTTATTCCTCATGGATAGTAGACTCCCCAGATCACAAATGAGGAAAAGGAAGCTCAGAAAAGTGAAGACAATTGCCTGAGGTCAAAGAGGTTTTGGCAGGGACAGGAATAAAAAGATTATTTTATTCCAAAACTAGACTGAAGTCCGACTAAGCTCCACCTTGAGCAAGAAGCCTTGCTCACTATTGGCCGTGGGTTCAAACTCGGTCTCAGGCTCATGCTAACCGTGGGATCTCAGGCAGGTCTCCAGGCCTCTTAAAACCCTTCTCTACCTACCTATAAAGTGGATGTAATAACTGAAATCTCTACAGAAGGTTTTGAAGATTAAAGACAAGCTTGGCATAGTGCCTGGCAGTCAGTAGGTGCTCAATAAATGTTTCCATGTCCTCTGGTTTCTGGGTTGCAATCCCAGATTTCCAGCCAGCTAGTCATCAGGGCCTGGGGCAAGTCCCTGCACTTCTCTGGTTGGGCTGGGTGATCTCTCGGAGCCACGTTCCCCTGCTGGGAGTCCCACGTCCCCACAGAGTCTACAAAACAGTGTACTCTGACTCAGATACTCTGTCTCAGATTGTTCACCCATCACCCGGGGTCTTTGTACCCACCCTCATTCCTGGTGGATTAAAAACCCCTTCACGAGGATCATGTCCGGGGATCTCCTCTGTGCTCCCACAGGCCTAGACTACGTGCTTGCCTGCCTTCCTTCCGTCTTTCCTTCCGTCCCTCCTTCCTTCCTTCCCTCCTTCCTCCACTTAGGAAAACCAGCACTTAAGCCAGGCCCCTGGGGGGAGAGAGGGGCTGGAATGAGTAATGATTAGGGCCTGACCCTGCCTTTGAGGAGCTCACCTCTAGAGGAAAGTGCTCAGTTCATTCTTAGAAGTCATTCTTGATTGGCTGAAGCTCTTAAAAATTTAAAGCTTTAGAACACTCAGAAGAATTCTTAGAATCTCATTTACAAGTTAATTGGAGGATTGTCTCTTTCAGGTCCTTTGTCAGCCTGAATACAATTATCTTGATCCTTCAGACTTTTTCCTGGCTTGTTGCACCGTCGGTGGAGGGGTGCCACACTCAGGGAGCCTAGCAATTGTGCAGCCCCCTCTTCCTGATAAGATGAGGAAGTCGAGGCCCAGAGAGCACCTGGCACTGGCCACAGCCAGAGCCCAGGCCCCACGATCCCCAGCCTGCTTCTCTCTGAGTGACTTAGCAGAGTTCCTCCAGATGGGGAGGAGGCGGGAACCTGAAGCCAGGTGGAGAAGATGTGGGGAGCTGTCTCTCAGGGTCCTGGTGGCAACTGCTCCTGGGACCTCATGGCTCTAAGCTCTGGAGCCTCTGTAGAAAAGAGCTGGAGAGCTCATCTGTCAAAGTGCGGGGCCTTGAGGACCTGACATACACGCCCCCACCCTTAAATTAAGAAAAACAAGCAAACTCCCTCTCCATGCCCACCCCTCTGTCTCACCAAACCACAAATATCACTTAGCTCTCAGTCGGTCAGCAACTCTTGAAAAATGAATTCCCAGGAGGCTACAAGGCCCCGATTGAGAACTTGAATACGTCCCCTTTGTTTGTGTTATTTTCCACCCAAGCATCAAATAACAAAAGTGAAAGAGTAGGTCTGGTTTTAAAGGAAAATTACATGTTGTGACTCAACATTAATCTTTGTTTTCTCTCATCTCTGTGGGTAATTATAACATGTCAGCCCCACGCAGGTGCTGGCGGGAGCCTGTCGGGTGCCGGGCTGCCCTTCAGAGAGGGCCCCTGGGGAGGGCCAAGAGCATAGGCCCAGGGACAGGGCGCTGATGACCACAGCTGGGGCCCCGCACTTATCTGGACCACAGTGACGTAGCTGCAGGGCTGAAGTTCAAAAGGTCCCACCAAGGTAGAGGAAAATTAGGAAAAAGTGAACAGGCCAGGTGAGCCCCTGTGGGGAGAGCAGGAGCGTGGACGGTGGGCAGGTCTCTGAGTGTGAGGTGGGCTCAGGCCCAGCGACGGGCTGGGAGGGCAGCTCTGGGGCAGGGTTTTGGTGCGTGTGTAGGAGAATGGGAATGATCGGCTACTCAACACCCTGGAGCCCACCGTGTGCCGGGCCGTGCGCTGGGTCCTGGGGGACACGGAGAGCCCCTGCCCACCGGGAGCCCAGATTGCAGAGGAGAAAGAGGCATGTACACACGCAACGACGACCAACAATACCAACCAGTGTATGAAAGTGCTCAGCTGCATATCAGATTATTCTCTCTCTCTCTCTCTCTCTCTCTCTCCAAAACCTTCTGTGGCTCCCCATTACCTTCAGGGTAATGTTCCAGTTCCTCTTTTTGCTATTCAAAGCTCTGGTCTATGCGCTGCACCTCCTTTCCAGCCTCCCAGCAGACCCCTCCCCTGTGAGCACCCTCTCCACCCCATCTGCTTTCTACCACCTGACACCTCATGCTTCAGACTGAACAGGTCAGCTATTTTCACGCCTCCATGTCTTTGTTCATCGCTTTTTGTCTTCCTGGAATGTTCTCCCATTTTGTCTCTAGATGATGAATTCCTACGTACTTTTCAAAGCCCGGTCTAAACATCACGCCTCTGCTTCACGGTCTGTGTTCTCCACCGGGGACAGAGCTCCTTCCCCTCTGCTGGAGTCCTGACTGCGTTTTGCACACACCTGTAGCACTGTATGTCCCGTAGAGTATTGTCCTGGCACGTCTGCACCTCTGGCTTCTCCACTAGACAGGTTGCTCCTTAAGGAGCTACCTTGGTTCACTCTGGATCTTTCGTGCACGATGCACAGCCCAGCAGGGGGTAAATCCTCACTAAGCACCAAATAAGAATTATAGAATCGTAGAAATGAAGAAGCTCCTAAGGATTCTTGACTTCAACTCCTTCATGTTTTAGAGAAGTGAGACCCAACCAGAAATTCCCCTCCCACACCATCTGGCCAGCCAGCAGGAGTATCCCAAGGAGGCTTCAGGGAGGAAGTGGGGTTTGAGCTTGGTTTTAACAGACCTGTACAACGTATATGGATGAAATAGAAAAAAGTGGGGGGGGGGTATTCCATGTTGGGGGTAGGTGAAAGGAAGGAAGCAGGGGCCTGAAGAGCCACAGCCCGAGGCATGACATGACCAGGATGCTTAGAGCAATGGAGACGTTAAGGACAAGACCAAAAGTTCCTTCCTATTCATCAGTCACTCCTCTAGCACCTACTCCGTGCCAGGCCTGGCATCCCTTTGCTTGGGAATTATAGAGAAAAATCAAATGTGTTAAAGTCACATTCTCATGAGAAAAACTGATAGACAAAGAACTACCTAGAAAACTATTTATGGAAGGCAAGGTACAACGTACTGTGGAAGTCTTTAGGAGAGAGAAGCTTATTTCCTGGGCAGTCTGCTTCCCAAGTGAGCCTGGGAAGGTGGGGGAAGGGGTTGGAGGAAGAGCAGTAGGGGCCCAGACATATAGGATATTTGCCTTCCAGTGCCTTCTCTCTCTTCGCCTCCACCTTTGGTTACAGAGGCTCTTTGCCGGTCAATCCACACTCCACCACTCCAACCACTGCACACCTTCTCCCATGCCACCGTCTACCTCGGGCTGCCCCACCTGGGCTTGTACCTAGGCTTGCCTCTCTAGGGGAAATACACCCTCCTTTACCCCAGCGAACAGACTCCTCTTATTTCCTATGCTCCCTTTGGGGGGCACACCCACTCAATGACATATGAATGGCACCCTGTAGTTTGCAAAGTTCACCTCCAGCCCCCACTTACCAAAGCCTGTGAGGCAGGAAGGGCATGGGCTCCTGTGTGCTCTCGGCTGTCTCTGGGTCCTGAGGTCTAGACGTATCTCACCCATGCTAGATGGCCTTGCTCTGTGTCTCAAGAGGGTGGAACTTCAGGTAGTGAGGCCTCCTGGGGAGGGAGATATGTTAAGGCAAGGTGTCCCTTTTGTGTGCTGCCACCTGTTACATTTTTACCTCATTCATGACTCATTGACAACAAAGGAAAATGGGTATCCAAGGTCAGAGCACAATGGGCTACAAGACATTGCTTCTCCAGTCCTAATTCAAAGAGCCCAAGAGAGATTCCATATTTCTGCTGTCACTTTCTATCTTACTCTGTAATTCTTTATCATTTTGCATAGTTAGTTTGTGTAACTGTCTCCTCTACTAAACCATAAGCAGCCTGAGGACTGCGTCAATGTCTGACTCATGTTCGTCATGTCCAGAGACCACGGGACCATTCTTAACATCTAGCACCACACCTTTATAAGTTACAGCAGGCGAGGGAAGACACTAAGTGCATTGACTCATATTATTTCATTTAACCTCCCAACATCCCTGCAAGACTGGAATATTTTATCTCCATTTTACAAATAAATCCCAGAAAAGTTAAGTAACTTTCCCAAGATCACACCTCCCCCAGCCAACCTGGGAATTCAGGTGAGTTCTTTTTAGCTCTAAAGCCTACTCTTTCCCCTAAAAACAAATCCTAGTCCAACACATGAGTGGATGGCACACTAGCTATCAGTCAACAACATAACAAACAAGGCCCCATATGAAGGAAAACGCAAAAATGTATAAAACCTGGCCCCTGTTCACCAAGATCCCATAGTCTAGTGTGTGAGCCAAACAGACAGAGGGCAATTACTGAAGAGTAGTGTTAAGGGTGTGGCATTGGGTGCTGGGTACCCTGACTCAGAGAGGAGCCAGATGTATCTCTGCCTTCCAAGATCACCCAAGCTCGTGGCGGAGACAGACCCGCTGTGAAATGCCAGAGTTAGGCTATTCTGAGGAATATAAGGATGCCTCCTGGAGCCCATGATGATTATGAAGAGGCTGGGGTCCCAGGCTCCCCCAGGATATGGATCTTCTGTGCGTCCTTCCCCATCCCATTGTGATTGGGATAGGATAGGTTAGAATCAAGGTGGAAATGTGGGAGAGTTGGAGCCGTAGTCAGTCAGGTCTTCTCCAGCACCAGCATGATGCAGAGTATCCATCCATCCATCTAGCAGTCATTCACTGAGCCATGATGCCTGCTTTGAACCAGGCCCTGGGCTGGGATCCTGGGCCACGGAGAAGAGGAAGACAAGGCCACTGCTCCTGGGATGTCACAGTTCAGTGGGGGAGATAGACACGCCAGAAATGATTTCAATCCGGTGTGTATATGTGCTGTCTTTCTTCTCTCTTTCTGTTATCTCCCCTTTGCAGGAAAGAAAAGCCCCCTCCCCACAAGTACCCATTCCTGCGGGGCCCAGCCAGCAACCACCCCAACGGCAAAGGGGACAAGAAGAGCTCAGTGAACCACACAGACCCTTCAAACTCTTTTTAAGGACATGGAGCCCGGGGAGGTCTTGTGGAGGCACGAGCATGCATTTTCCGCGGGGGCATGAAATTATTCACCCTTCTCTCTAGTTTCCAAGATACAGGGTGTGGGATACGGACTAGGCTGGTGAAAGGGAAGGAAAAAATGAGAAATTTCATCATCGGGTTTCCCTTTTACCAATGGAAAATCAATTGTGGGGCTTCAGCTTAAAGGGTCAGGAACAAGATAGGAGGCTCGAACCAAGCGAGTACAGAGGCTATTTTCACAACACAGAGAATCCTCACAGGATGAGGAAAAGCTACACATCCCTTTTGAGAGGTTTGACACATCTCAGGTCAGTGCTTTTGAAGCCTTTTCGAGTTGTGTTGCTACCACCGGTGGTTACCTCTTAGACTAGGTGATGGTTGTTTACGGTTTTAGAAATGCACTGTCTATACCTGCTGATCCATCACCACATCAGTGACACATACGACCCAAAGACAAATGTACTGTTGTGAACAATAGGACAGAATTTTTGAAATCACAGTGGTCTGGGGTCACTATGGTCACTGTCACTGTGTCTATGGGCTGCGTGTATTTCCCAATGGCCTGGGTCGTTTCATTGAAACTCTAGCTCCAAAGACAACAAGCATTGGTCACTCATGGTTCAGATCTCCCGATCCTGGTGTCAGGGACCAAACCTGGCCACTGAAGAGGTAGGTATGGATACTCTGGAGTGAGGGAAGGCTGGCTGCCAGGTGAAGGAAATGCAGAAGGTAGGAGAGTGCCCCCACCCCCCTGCCCCGCCTCAACCGAGGCAGGGGGCTGATAAAACTGCAGCAGTAGCAATTCCCAAGCCGGGGAGCGGAAGCTAAATATTGTGCATTTTTCTAAAGAGTAAAGTGCCTTTGTATGATGAATGGGTCCCGAGGAGGGTGCTCCCTTCCTGTCTGTGAAGCGGCAGGTTGAATCACTGCGACAGCCTGCTAATTAAAATGACCTCCCGGAAATGAGGATGCGGAGATGGGAGATGGGGAGAGGAAGGGAGGCTCAGGGGAGAGAGGGCCTTTAGCACAAAGCTCCAGTTAAGCATTCTTTGGCTTTGGGGTGGAGATTTTTGAAGTTTGTTGCAAAAATTAAGAGCAAAGCTTATTCTCCCTTTGTTTATTGGTTTTCCGAAATGATAACAAAGAACCTTGTGTTCGCTGGCTACAAATGTTGTGTTGTATATACAGCTTCTCCTCTGGGTTCTTGTTGCCCAGAAGAACACAAATAAAGTGGTTTATGCATTGCTTCTGTTCCTCCGAACATTCTTGGCACCCTTCCCCTTAGGTCTTCCACTCCCCCGGGAACCACCCAGCCAACCCAAATTTGGTGTGACTCGCACTTTGCTGTCAGGGCCTCTGTCATCAGGGATAAGAAAGGACAGTCCAGATTTGACTTTCCAGCAGCTCCTGTGGCAGAGTCCCGGGGTGTTTAGCTGAGTGCAACCAGGTCAACATGAGCCAAGAGCATGGCAGGTCTTCCAGAAATGATAGCATCTCTTGAGACAGCATCAACAGAGGCAGACTGCGTAAAACAGGCACAGTGACAGCCCAGCTCTATTTGCCCCGGTCCCATAAGGTTGTGACCATAGTTAGGCCCCACTCTGTAAAAACTGCATTGATGAATTGGATTGCAGGCCTCACGAGCCCCGTTATGCTACCAGTTTTTTATTTATTTATTTATTTATTTATTTATTTATTTATTTATTTATTTATTTATTTATTGGTACCAGTTTAAAGCCAAGAAGTTGAAGCCTGGCCACTCAGGCTTCTAACTCTCCATTCAGACCCCAGCTCTGTCTTTTAATATCCGTGTGATCTTCCTGGTAAGACTGTGATAGTGATACCTGCCTCGTTAGGGTCGTTATGTCGGTGTAACAGACTTAGGTCTGGGAGATGTCAGCAAGGGGGCCCAGTAAATGTGAACTGTGTTATATGGGATGTTACCAACATGGGGAGGTGTCTGCCAATCATTTCCCATTGGAAATGGATGAGGAGACAAGATGTTTATCCCTGAGATGAAAAATAAGACAGAGCAGGGGTAGGAACGTGAGATCACAACCTCTAAAATGTGGAAAGAACATCTTGGACATTCTTTTCGTCCAAAAGAAACAAGCCTGTTTGGTGTTGCCAAAGGTAAGAACCAAATCCAGGGAAGTAGTCTCAATAAGACAGATTTCAGCTCAAAAAAAAAAAAAAAAAAAAGGAAAACTTGCTAGTGAATAGAGTTGCCTGCCATGGGGTGGGCTTCCTGGGGAGACAGTGAGCTCCCCATCACCAGATGTATGCAAACATCCAGAATGAACACCTGTCATGGAGAAAACAGAAGGGGTACCTTCTCTAGGGGGATGCTGGGTGCTCTGTGGCATCACCTCCTGGTCTCTAACTCTGGAGAGAAATGGCATGAGGCAGGCGGTTGCATTCCTGGTGTCAGAGGATGGAGTTTATAGTATAAAACGTATCATTTAATGCTAAACAAAAGACATTAAATGTCTCTGAATTACAGCATATGGACCCTGCTAACATTTAGAATTCCTTAAGAGGGAAAACTGCACAACTATAAGGTAGACTGTAGGATGTGTTTGCAATAGGACCACCTGCTCCTTTCTATTGCTGGAACAGAGAAGAAAGGCTACCCGAGAGCCCAGGGGTGCCAGCGGACCTCCCTGTGGCCGTGGCCTGCTCAGAACCCCCTAATTTTCTTGGACCAGGCGGTACCTGTGGTCTCCAGTTAGGAAGGCTTTCAGCAAGGAGATGGGAGGCAGCAGCAATCTGGCAGGTGAACCAGCCGGAAGCTACTAGCCCGCCCAGCCCCAGGAGTGGGCCCTCTAGCCTCTGCGCTTGCCTGCCCACCTTCACCTCTGCACAGAGCCGCAGTGGAGAGCACAGGCTGCCAACCCAGTGTTCTGAGGACAGTGCGATAATGCTGCCAAGAGGAAGAGTGGCGGGGCGAGACATGTTGGGCTTCTACCAGGCTCTCACACACAGCTCCATCTCTGCCTCTTTCGTTCTCCACTGGTCCGGAAGCTCAGAGACAGGCCGAAAGGTCTATTCACCCATAAACACTATGGTGGGCAAACCAGAGGCCACCTGGATTCTTTGTGCAGAAGCCCACAGCAGAGGGGAGCCCGGGTGGCTCAGTCGGTTGAGCATCTGACTCTTGATTTTTTTTTAAGATTTTATTTATTTATTCATGAGAGACAGAGAGAGAGACAGAGAGAGAGAGAGAGAGAGAGAGAGAGAGAGGCAGAGACACAGGCAGAGGGAGAAGCAGGCTCCATGCAGGGAGCCCGACGTGGGACTCGATCCCCAGTCTCCAGGTTCAGGCCCTGGACCAAAGGTGGCGCTAACCCACTGAGCCACCCAAGCTGCCCTGACTCTTGATTTTGGCTCAGGTCATTGTCTCAGGGTCATGAGATCAAGCCCTGCATTGGGTTCTGTTCCGGGCTTGCCTGCTTAAGATTCTCTCTCTCACTATCCCCCACCCCCACCCCACCCCACCCCCAAAAAACCCCACCGCAGAGGCTGAGTCACCTGCCTCTGATGACAATGCCTGAATCAGCAGAGGGGACCTTTAGCTGAGAGCTTTCCTTGTGATTCAGTGACACACCGAGACCTACCTAAGAGGATCCTGGCTCAGAGCAGTGCCACCCATAGAAGTCTAGAGTGATTAACATTTGTTGAGGCTCCATTCATTCATCTGCCAAGGGTTCCCTGGGCATTGCTGTGTGCCAGACATCATGCTAGATACCTCTGCATCCATTGCCTTGATATCCCCAACCATCCCTTGAAGTACCATTTTCTACTTTGCCCGGGTGACAACATTGAGACCCTAAGAGTAAAATCCTTTGTTTGCCTTCATCCTGCTAGTGAGAATCTGGATTCAAACCCGGCTCCCTATCCACTGCTCTATACTGGGCACTCTCCATTGGCCTCTGGGGAAAACCAGGTCAAAACAGGAGAACAGATGTAAGCAGAATAACAAGTAGCCAGTGGCATCACCTAGAGGTGGCGGGGAAGGGGGAAAGAGGCAGGGAGCACGTAAGTTTCCAGGTTGGGCGTCCGGGTAAGGATTTCAGGACTTTTTAGCACCTGTTGCTAAGACCCTGTCTTCCTCCTGTCTCTCGCTCCCACACACCTGTCTGGGTTCCTGCCGGGCACTCCAGCAGGGTAGGGTTTGGGCAAGTGGTTCATTTATCACTTGACATGCAGAAGCTTCTGTATCTCCCAGAGCTCCTGGAAACTCGGCAAAGTAGTCGTTGCAGGTCCCATCTTGGGACCCTCTGGGTTACTGACCCCATGCAGATAATCTAGTGCAGGTGCTGTTATCCCTCCCTCCTTCTGGAGCGTGTGAGCTGAGCCTACAGTGTCCCCAGTTCTTCCTCTGAGTCTTGCCTCCTGAGCATCCGAAGGGCGCCAAGAGATGCTTTCCGTCCCCAACAGGGGGGAGGTTGGAACATAATAAGAACAGCCTGGGTTTAAGGAGTCAGACAAACTGAAATGTGGATCCCAGCTCTCCCATCAACTAGCTGCATGGCTTCTGGTAAAGAATTTAACCTCTATAAGCCTTGGGATTCTCATCTGTAAAATGGGAATGATAACCTACCTTGGAGGCCCCACTCTCTGTGGAGACATGGAGGAGATAGATTTACTTAATCTCTAGTCCTCTCCTAAAGGCCAAATTCTTTTTTGGAGCTCAAGGCAGTTAGGTCATTTTTCTTATAACAATAAGAACAACTATTGTTGCTGCTACTACCACCATCACCCAACTGCTACTACTACCACCACTACTGCTGCTACTACCACACCATCTACCGCCACCACCACCACCACCAGTACCACCGCTACCACCACCAATCACCGCCACCATCACCACCACCGCCAACATCACCACCACCGCCACCGCCGCCACTGCCACCATCACCACCACCGCCACCATCACCGCCACCGCCACCGCTGCCGCCATCGCCACCGCCACCACCGCCACCACCACCAGCATCACCACTGCTGCCGCCACCACCATCGCCACCACCACCACTGCCACCACCACCAGCATCACAATTGCCACTGCCACCACTGCCACCACGGCCACCGCCACCACCGCCACCACCACCACTGCCACCATCACCGCCACCGCCACCACCACCACCGCCACCACCTCCACCACCATCACTATCACCACCACCACCACCAGCAGCAGCATCACCATCGCCACCACCACCACTGCCACCGCCACCACCACCAGCATCACCGCCACCGCCACCACCGCCACCACCGCCACCATCGCCACCACCGCCACCACCACCATCACCACCACCGCCACCATCACTGCCACTGCCACCACCGCCGCCACCGCCACCGCCGCCACCACCACCACCACCGCCACCACCACCAGCATCACCATTGCCACCGCCACCACTGCCACCACTGCCGCCATCACCACCATCACCACCATCACCATCACCACGGCCACCACCACCACCGCTGCCGCCGCCACCACCATCGCCACCACCACCACCGCCACCATCACCACCACCACCACCACCACCACCATCACCATCACCACCATCACCACCACCACCACCACCACCACCACCACTACCATCACCACCACCTCCACCACCATCACCATCACAACTACCACCACCACCAGCAGCATCACCATCGCCACCACCACCACTGCCACCACTGCCACCATCACCACCACCACCACCACCACCACCATCACCATCACCACCATCACCACCACCACCACCACCACCACCACCACCACCACCTCCACCACCATCACCATCACAACTACCACCACCACCAGCAGCATCACCATCGCCACCACCACCACTGCCACCACTGCCACCATCACCACCATCGCCACCACCACGGCCACCACCACCGCTGCCGCCACCGCCACCACCATCGCCACCACCACTGCCACCATCACCACCATCACCACCATCACCACCACCACCACTGCTACTTCTGCCACTGCCGATCTACTGCTAGTGCTGCTGCTGCTGCTCTGCTGTCACTGTGTCTACTTAGGCCCCAGCCCTGCACTGGCTACTTCGTCTTCTGTGGTCTCACATAATCCTCACAACAACCCTCCGAAGTGGAAGTTATTTCCCAAGAAGGAGACAGAAGCTTAGGAGGGAAAGCAATCTGGCCACAGCCACATAGCTCATAACCAGGGAGCCTGGCTGGCACCAGACGCCAGGGCTTGCATTCTTTCCATCGTCCCTCTACCTTTTTG